TTACTTTTTCACAGCAATGTAAAATTTTTTTCTTTCTGATATCATGGCTAGACCGAGTTGTACATAAGTATTTTCCGAACAAAACTACAGCAACTAGAAGATTAAATGCACTGTCATTTAGATCTCATTTCCAAAATTTTCCCGAATCTTCATCTTTGATTTCAGAATGAAATCTCGCTAAAGACAAATTCAGACATGAATTTTCGAAACCTAACTTTTGCACACGACGTAGGGCGGCACCATGAATGAAGCTCACTGCAGTTTAGGCTACGCTCAGGCTCGAAATTAGGATAATTTAAAATACCAGAACTAAGCAAATTGCAAATATGGAAATTTGCAGTTTTACTAATTGCATGTTTCAAGGTGATTGATTTGAAATCTGTTGCGCTCCCTGACTGATTACCTTAGTACAACTCATATGGTGTTATAAGCTGATTAAACAGTTTTGTAGCTAAATTTCTGCAGCTGCATTTTCCTGTGTTTTGCATGTTGATCTTTGGATATTTGTTCACTTCTTGATCTATTACCTCACATTCACGATTTAGCTTGGTACCATAACCCTTGAGACGGCAGACAGCGCATAAATTGTATTTTCGGCGGTTATGATCACTGCGAGAATGAGTGCTGCGAGGTTGCACAGATTACGAAATGCATTACTCTAAGTCAGTAACACTGTTAATTTCTAGGATATTAATTGAGCGATACCGGAAGATCTATGGGAAGTGCGACAAAAAATGTGAACGTGTCAAAAGCACCATCATCTCCAGCAGCATTCACATATCGCGCTGCTATTTCCGTGTTTGTTGCCCAATTATCAGTTGTATACCGTATATAAACCTAAAATCATTGCAGTTTGGATAAGACCAAAGATGCCTGACTGTTTCTGCAGTTACAGTTGTTCTGGAGTTGCTGACCGTGTCTACTCCAAATCCACATTTGTCAGTTAATCAGCGGGCATTCAGCCAAAGGTTTATAACTAACCCATTTCTTTATGTTTAATACAAAGGAAAACACCCGATAGTATGATTAAAAAAAAGCTGCAGGATGGCAGAAAAAATTTATTCGTTATTTATGAGTGAGTCGTGAAGGTTCTTCCAAAAAACCAGTCACTAATTTGCCTTCGATAGAAATCGGCGAAGGACAAGAAAATGACGGTGACCTCTGACTGGTAGTTGTAATTAATAACGTTTTTAGTTAACAGAAGGAGCAATTAATTTAAAAGACATATCTGTTTTTCACAAGCGATGTTCAGGACGTTAACCATGCCTGTAATATTTGTGTCAACCACGGTAACACACTGTAAGCAGACGCTTTGAATTCGTGTCAACTGACGTATTTCTTCGTCGCTGCGATTCGGAAAACTTGCCATACTAAGTCCAACTGCATGTGCGAAACGTGTTTCCCTCCATTCTGATACAGAGAGCGGGTGCAAAGACTGTAACCTAAAAAAAATTCTTTAACTTAAAAGTAGGCAATTGAAGTCCATGAACTGTATTTCATTTTATACTTTTTTGCAAAGTATTAAAAACACAGTCTATGCCTCTTTTATGCACATAGTATGCCACCTACTCCGAACATATAACTTATGTGCCATGAAAGTTACATAAATATTATAATAATGGAGTGAAGATAGTTTTAAGCCATTTGCGGCAGCTTTGAATCAATTTTTATATTACCTGGAAACGTAAATGTTAATTTTGACTCAAGTTCAAGTCCAAATTCACGCTAGTTTTGCATGCGCGAAATCGCCTTTGCTTTATTGATCAGTTCTGATAGGTGTTAAACTAAAACTAAAGTTTAAAAAGCTTCAATCGTACCCGCTAGAAACGTCATGTTCTTCTTCATAATAATTTTTGCGCACAAGATCCAGGCCAAGGGAATCCGCGAAACGCACTGATTTTTCACTTTTTGAAGAAGATAGCGTCGCTGATTTGCGGAGTGCGGAGCGTAATGATTTTGACCGACTCCTAAAAACTCGAAATCTGGATTATGTAAAAACTCTAGATTATTTTTGTCCTTTTCATCCCATAAAGTGTCCAGAAGCTTGAGAAAGAAAATATTTTTGAGAAATTCAGCAGAGCACTTTGTGGTAGCAGTAAACTGGTACACGTCTTTTTGTTCAGTAGTT